GGAACTATTGCTACTTAATAATTTGACTGATTTTCATTTTAAAGTGAATTTTATTGATGTGTGGTACTTCAGGAACTATTGCTACTTAATAATTTGACTGATTTTCATTTTAAAGTGAATTTTATTGATGTGTGGTACTTCAGGAACTATTGCTACTTAATAATTTGACTGATTTTCATTTTAAAGTGAATTTTATTGATGTGTGGTACTTCAGGAACTATTGCTACTTAATAATATGACTGATTTTCATTTTAAACTACATGTAGGTAACTTACTGTTTACTCTCGGTCACTGTGAAACCTGACATAGAAGATGAGAATGAAAGCTTTGTCATTCCTCTAGATATTAACAAGACTTGTTTGTCTTAAATCCATCCCTTTAGTGTAGATTAAGACACATTTTTACCAAGACTGTTTGTATGTACATTACCTTATACAATCATTCATTAGACATTAACAAATTCACAGTCTTATGTACTGCGTGTAATCGTCATTCAAGCTGTAGAGATACTCTTAAAGTGTCTTCATTTGTGGTGAGCAAACTTTAAAAACTAATAATGAGTAAGTATATTTAATCATAAGTAACAATGAACTAACTGATTCAGAATATATGATATTTTTTATTTAACTTCATATTTCTTTTTGATCTTCATTATTGAAAACTTGCTTCTGTTTATTATTTATTAGGAAAGTAAAATTACAGTTTTTTTTATTGTTTCAGTGTGAAGTTCCTGCCGAGGTAAATTATTGGGTAATACACGGCTTATGGTAAGTGTAAAGCTCTCACAAAGTTGTGAGTGTTACATCACCAGCACAAGTAAAAAAGGTTTTAATAAACTTTCACAACACACATATCTAGTATTAGTGAATGGTTTAAATGTGTAGAGACCCAATAAAATTACTACTTTAAATAGTTAAACCCTTCAAAATTCCTGTTGGATAATGTCATTGGTCATTGAAGATTGCTCTTACTTAAATAGCATACTGGTTAGTAAGCAGGAAAGAGTGTATTACAAATGTTTAGGTTTGGATGGTAAATTTTATTCTTTTTATAGTGGTTATTATTAACATGAATAATTTAGGTTTTAATAGGTTGTCCTTACAGGTCACTTGGAGATCTATGACATAAAAAATAATTTTTTTTATGAGTGAAATCTATTCATACGAAAACCTGTAAAAAAATCATACAGATCTTGTGTATTAGTTGAGAATGATTCTTTATTCTATTTCTAAAAGTGTCACATTGAAGCCATTGAGTTGTTGTTGTTATTATGTGTACATTTTTGTTAACCTTCCCCCCCTACTCTGGATCTGCCCATGTGAAGAGATATATTCTACTCATAACCTTTAATGTTCCATTTGTAGTGATATATTTTATTGATATTATTCTCCTTATATCTGTTTGTGCTACGACAGTCACTCTCTGTTATGTGGCTTCTACTACAACAAACACTTTGATTCTCTATACACTTTATTGTTCCCATACTGTAGTTTTCCTTGACATTACATCACAGTAAGACTGATAAACCAGCTGAAGTGACATTTTGTACATCAACACAATTAGAACTGAACAATTAGTGAACGTTCTTAATTCATCAGACTAATTTCATCTAATTGGCTATCGGTACAAGATGGCTGAAAAATAAACTTGTGATGCTAAAAATATGGTTTGAATACCTGTGTTGGGAAGGGCAGAGATAGCCCATTGTTTAGCTTTGAACTTAACAAGAAACAAACATAATGGCAATATTTTAGTTATTTGGAGAGATAGCCCATTGTTTAGCTTTGAACTTAACAAGAAACAAACATAATGGCAATATTTCAGTTACTTGGAATAATCAGAAACCATAAATTTGGTTACTTGATTATTTTTGTGAGACTGAACAAATTTTATTTAATAAAAAACAATAATGAGAAACCATAATGGCAATATTTTGATTATTGAACAGTTGGAATAGTCGAAAACAGTAATAATTGTAAAAACGCTAACGTCAGTTAGTTGATTACCATATTAGCTCAATCATAGAGAAAGCTATTTTCAGAAACCATGCGAAAGAAAAAATTGAGTTTCATAATGTCCGTTTTTTAGGTCTGCAAAATGCCTTTCTTGTAGAAGGTGCATTAAAGAGTTTAGTATTTTGTTTCCACTAACGCTTCACATTATTTCAAGCACACCAAATGTTCTAGTAGCAGTACAACTGTTTTCTGCCTCGTGAACCACCATAATTTTAAGATTTGTATCATAATCCTTTGTTAATATGACACTTTCTTATTCCCGGACTTTCAGTGTGGCCACTCATTCTTGCACAAGGGTCGATTACTAAAACGAGAATCGCAGACAATTATTATATAATGTAAAACGAGCACAGTCAAAGCAATAATGCATCAACAAAATCAATACTATAACTGAACAGGTAGATTAGTTGCAAGAATTAGCGATGACCTTGAGCAAACATCTGGCATGCATGCATAGACGGATGCTGTCTGGACATTCAGGAATGTGACAGGCTAGAGTAGGGGGAAGAGGCCTGTGATTGGCCGCGATTATAGGCAACGACTATGAACTTTACAGCCTAATTATTACTGAAAAAACATCGCCTTATAATCGGGCCAGTATAGTATTTTTGTGACATTAATCATTAATTGATAAGTGGTTATAGTAAATCAAGCTAATGATCCAGCTCCAGTTTATATTTAGTAAGGTTTTTATCCACAATCATTTTACTACTGTAATGCTGTTGTTTTCCAGTGTAATTGCTGCGGTTTTAACATACATGTCCTCAGCAGCTCAGCATTAAACATGAAGGTTTTTCATGCTAAAAATTTGGTTTGAAGATGCACCTTAACATAACGTTTAGGGACAATGAAGAACGTTTTGGTTCATCTTGGCCATCCCATCCTCTAAACTAAAACTATCAAATAAATAAATTAGAAAAAAATAATAAGCTCACTTAAATTTACTGCCTCCACAACATCGAATGGCAACCCATTCCAGAAGCCAACCACCCTGTTAGAACATCCATGATGTTAGATATACACGACGGTCCATTTTAAGTTTAAACGAGAGTATTATTTAGTTTATATTGTGTGTGCATTAAAGTAAGCGGTATTTATGGTTAGTGTGCTTATGTAACTGTTTTATTAATCATTTGTTGTATAGTTCAATTATTGTGGATTGATATCATGTTACTTGAACTTTCTGAATTTGCCTTGAGTGAGTATTGTTACATCATAACATCTTCTAGTTTGTAGAAAGTTCTAGACCTCAGTTGAGGCAACCAAGTTAGTAAAAGTGAAGTCAGATAGCATGTGAGTTTAGCCCATGACACAGCTTGTATTGTAATAACAGAGACAGAGGATTATAAATTGTCTTGTTCAAAGGGTGTTCTAAAGTAATTGATCCCACCCAAGTTTAGCTGTAACAGATAATTTCTGAAGTGAGTTTCACAGCTTGTATTGTAATAACAGAGATATAGGATAATAATTTGTCTTGTTCAAAGGGTGTTGTAAATTAATTTAACTGCCTGTATGGACTGATGAAAAGGAGACAATTATTTAAAGCTCTGGATACAACTTGTAACTAAAAGTACAATATTTACAATTGTGTTAAGACATACTGTTTTTAGTTTATTGGCCTTCTAGAACACCTCAGTCAATCATATGTAAGATTTGTTAATGGCCTTCTCAGAATAACTGTCAGACTTGGCTTTCTACAGCTAAAAGTACAATTTTTACAATTGCATTAGGACATAATGTTTTTATTCTACTGATCTTCTAGAACAACTTAGTCAATCATATCTAAGATTTGTTAATGACATTCCCAGACTTGACTAAAAGTACAATACTTATTGAAAGTCTCTGTGTATTCGTATTCCTGTGATACGCTTTTCTTTAAATATTTTAATTTGGATTAACGCACTTTTATACTAATTTTTACAAGAAATCTTCCTATGAGTTGTAAAGTATGGAAATATTTTGGAAAGTAACATCATAGATACAGGTAGCGAAAAAGTCGTGCCCTATAGGGATTTTAAATAACAATAAAAATATAGGGATTTATTAAACTAAGTGTTTGTATTGTTGACCATTAACTTTAAATCATTATAAATGTTTGATGTTAATGGTCAGCAATTTAAATATAGGAATTTATTAAACTAAGTGTTTGTATTGTTGATCATTAACTTTAAATCATTATAAATGTTTGATGTTAATGGTCAGCAATTTAAACAGTTACTTTAATAAAGAAAAGCATAAATACTTTTGTTTTATTGTTATTTACAATCTCTGCGGGGAATGACTTTCGTACCACTATGTATACAGCTGCATAAAGTTTGACATATATTACCCATAAAAAAACTCTAACCATTTACTTAACCCTTTCAAGATGGGTCATGGGTGAAAGGTCATGTCATCCCTTTCGTTTGTCTATATGTATATATTCTCAAGCTTTACTTAACCCTTTCAAGATGGGTCATGGGTGAAAGGTCATGTCATCTCTTTCGTTTGTCTATATGTATATATTCTCAAGCTTTACTTAACCCTTTCAAGATGGGTCACGGGTGAAAGGTCATGTCATCCCTTTCGTTTGTCTATATGTATATATTCTCAAGCTTTACTT